TTTGCGTTGTTGTCGATAGGTTGTTGGTTCCAGCCTTCGTCAGTGCACTCGATTTCACATTATCCTACACCGCCACTGGCGAGGGTGCGACAGTAAAACATCGGTACGAGGTACTGCACTGCTGCTGCTGCTTGTATCTAGTTCCTAGGATACCATTTGTTCTAGTTATCTACCTTGGCCACTCGCCTTGTCTTGGGGTCCGTTTTCTTGTGCTGACACACGGCTCTGTTCATTGTTGAAGGGTGTGTTAAAGCAACCCCTTACGTTCTGGGATCTTTTTACCTTAGCTTCCAGCTGGTCATAAAATGTATATCAGGAACCCCCTTTGAGTTCATTATAAACTTAATGAGACCTATCTCATTTTTTGTGCATTTTGTGGTCGATACTTTTTAGGCGATATTCTCCCACCTGCTTTGTCCAGAGCAACTTCTCGGCTGGGTAGATAACTGACACACAGCACGCATACGATGTGACTCCTTTGAGCCTATGAAACAACTCCTGTCCCTTGGTATTTAATGAACTTAATTTACTGAACGCTCTGAAAGATGTTTCGCATATTGAAAGGTACAAATTCCACTGTAGAACTTGACCACTGCACTGCCTCCACTGGGATATTTGTTTCCGTCAGGCTATCCGAGTAAGTATATATGTTCAAACCTCCGTGGGCTTGCCTCGCATCATCATCATCATACACGTTAGCTAGAGGTGGGAATCACCTCAACTACTGTGCCGCAATACACAGAAAAAGGAGAAAAAATGCAACTGGTGCAAGCCGGCTGAGCTACCGGTAACGGATGGGCATCGTTCCAGTAAGCTACCAGCCGGCTACTGTGCATCCAAAAAACTATGCTGAATTATATGAAGCTAAATAATGAGATCGTGGTTGGAGGGGGAGGCTATGAGGGATGGGGTGGGACAAAGAAACTCACATCACGAACGCCACTGAGGTCGGCTCCTAGCCATATCAGCAAGTGTGTTCAACCAAACGTGTTCATTGTCTTTCGGACCCCAACCAGGGAGCCGAGACGCTCCAACCGAGGCCAGCTCAGAAGTGAGGGTCTTCATTCCTCTGGACCAAGTCATCACTTGGCCACCTCTCCTCTTCTTCCATCCACACCCCCGGCGCGCAAACAGCACACGTCGCGGGAATCGGTGGGCTGGCATGCGTAACACGTTTCCGAGCCATCGGAGCCTGGTGCGTGAAATAACGGTGCTGAGCGGTTCAGTTCCTTTTCTTCTGCCTTAAACAAGACGTCGAACACGTTCGTTACTCACGCGGTGTCGCCACCAGATGAGAGCTACATTACGAAGGCACCAGTGGTCGAACGTAACTAGCCTCTTCAGGTCCACTGCTTTAAGCGGCCAGGTTTCACAACCGTACAGTAGGGTCGAACGTACTGCTGCATTGTACACTCTACCCTTCAGGGCAAGAGTGATGTCGCGCCGCCGCCATAAGTGGCGAAGGTTAGCAAAGCGCCCCGAGCTTTTGCTATCATGTCTCGCATAGTCGAGACTAAATATGTATTTATTTCTTTTTTGACCAAACCGAGAAAATTGTTACTGCTCGCGAATCTATGGAGGTGTACGTGTGTCAATCAAGAGTCATTAGTATATATATATATATATATATATATATATATATATATATATATATATATAAAGTCGTGTCCGCGTTAGGTCTAGCTGTGTTGTAAAGATGGAAGAATCGAATAGCGCTCGTTAAACACACTTAGTGGTTGTTCACCTTTGAACATCACAGTCTGCGAGACATTTCACGTGTATTCCGGGTCTCGGAATGCCCGTATTGATTCATGTAGCTGCTGTTTAGCGCTTATCGCCAAACACTGCGCCAGACAGTGTTTGACTTGAACTGTCTATGTTTGCAACTTCACATTCCTTACTTGGCATACCAACAGTTTGCCGATGGAATATTTCGCCCCCTGAAGCTTTTGAACACAGCTGATGGTGCATACAATTGCGGAATAAAGCTACTCATAGCATTAGATTTGGTCGATGGATGGTGCCCAGACACGGTCATATCTAGCATAACGCAACCGCGAAGTCATTGGTACTACTGCATTCGGTCTCTTATTTCTGCTCACTAACCTTTTTGAATGACCGTTCTACCCTTTTTCATTGTTCCCGTTGAATGTCTTTGTGATAGGTTCTGTTTGCGCTTTTGTGTTTTTCTACCATCATCATTATTATTATTATCTTTATGGCCACGTTTCTCCTTAATGCTTTTGTGTTCTAATCCCCGTTGCTTAAACTATGTGACTAAATGGATACCTGATTGTGGAGGTTAGGCGGCTGTTACTGTTGCCGCCGCACTGGTGCACGCTATGTGGTGACGGCCGTGTGTGTGTGTGTGTGTGCCAGTTCTCCGGTCCATATGACACTCAAACTCAGTAGCAGAGTGTTGGTTAACGATTCCAATCCTTTGTTAGTTAAACAACTACTACAGGCGCCACCCCTAAATTCTGTCCTGCGCGCGCTGTTGGTGGGACCACTGATTTGCCAATAGTTTCGTGACTTATTCCTGTAGCAACATCTACAAGACAATTTAAGAGAGCAAGAACGAACAGCATTTATGCGGGATAACCTGAATTCAGATTAGTTCGTGTCTTCTCATTCAGCCGCTTACAGACAATTCGTGGAAAGAGTAAAGAAATGCAATTGAAAAAGGGGGTCAATAGGAAAATCAGTAAAACACTGAGAAAATCAAAGTCATTGCCTGCGTCTTACCAGGGCAAGGCAAGACTGGCCACAAGGTCTACCTGTTTGCAAAGGTTTGGTTTCATTCGTCGGATGGCCGAGGCTTCAGCGAAACGAAGCAAGCTCCCGTTGTTTTGTCTGCTGATAACCTTGATTGCGTCATGTGGGTTTTCGCACTAGCCAAGTCCACTGCCTTGGCTTTAAACCAACTACTCGCGTCTGCAGTTGACGGGGTTAGACCAGAAAGTTGCTCTTGTAGGTGTTCAAATTGTGCTTCAACCCCTATGCGGTCACATTTACCAGGGGGGGGGCGATAGAACTTCAATTTGGTGGTGACTAAGCGGTATGTTGGACAAATTCATAACATATTTCTGCGGGTTAAGCGCACCAGAAACTGGCACGATGGTTGGCAAAGCGACTCGAGCCTGTACGTGCTGAGCTAGCGGTGCACAGTCTAAAAGACACTTTTGAGTTCGTTAACAAGGTTCGACACTTGAATGTTCAAGATAAGAACATGATATCATTTGATGTCTGTTCCCTTTTCACGTACGTTCCTTTGGATGAGACATTGAGCATCATAAGTAAGCATGCGGACAAAGTTGGCCTGCCTGCACATCGATTGAAGACGTTACTCAACATTTGTACGAAGGACGTCCAATTTTGCTTTATTGGGGATAAGTATCGTCAAATTGAAGGCGTGGCGATGGGTAGCCCTCTCGGACCGATTCTAGCTGACATCTTTATGGGTCATTTGGAGAGTATCTTATTATGCGATGTCATTGGAGTAACACACTTTTACACGAGGTATATCGACGGTACTTTTGTTGTAGTTGACACCGTCCAACAAGCGAAAGTCCTTTTGGATACGTTAAACAAATGTCATCCTAACATCAAGTTCACTTTGGAAAGTGAATCAGAGGATTCATTTCCTTTTCTTGACGTTTCACTTAAAAGAAGAGCAGATGGGTCACTCATAAGATCGATTTACCGGAAACCGAGCTGGACCGTACAATACCTACATTTCAACAGTTACTGTCCAATGAACTACAAACGATCCCTAGTTCCAAGAGTCAATCGGGGCCGAATTACGATACATCGAATCTAACCTATGCAATAACGGCTGTCCTAATAAATTCATCACCAGGTATGGGAATGAGGTTGCTAAGAAAGAAACACGAATGGATATCTCAAAGAAAAAGGTCTTCATCACACTACCGTACAAAGGAGAACGGAACGACAGAAGATTGTGCTACCGATTACGCCAAGCCATAAAAAAGTGCTACTACGCAGCTGAGCTCGTGTTGTTACATCAAACCAAGAAGCTGTTCCATCAATCCAACTTGGATAGGCCTTACACTCAGGTTACCGCCTCATGCGTTTACACCAATTCACCTGTACTTGCGGTAGCATGTACATTGGCCGAACCGAGAGAAGGCTACCAACTAGGATCATGGAACATATTACATGGAACCAGGCAAAAGTGGACCTAAACTCCCTGCCAGCTCCATCGCTCAGCATCTGCTCGATTGTACCTTGTGCGAAAACCCACGTGACGCATTTAAGGTTATCAGCAGACAAAACAACGGGAGCTTGCTTCGTTTCGCTGAAGCCTCGGCCATCAGACGAATGAAACCGAACCTTTGCAAACAGATAGACTTTGTGGCCAGTCTTGCCTTGCCCTGGTAAGACGCAGTCAATGACTTTTGTTTGCTCAGTGTTTTATTGATTTTCCTATTGACCCCCTTTTTCAATTGCATTCCTTTACTCTTTCCACGAATTGTCTGTAAGCGGCTGAATGAGAAGACACGAAATAATCTGAATTCAGGTTATCCCGCATAAATGCTGTTCGTTCTTGCTCTCTTAAAATTTCTGAAGGGAAATGGCTGCATGAAAATCTACAAGGCAAATTGCCCGATTTTGTGTCCGAACACGCACTGCAGACGAGTTCCTTTTGGATCATTTGCGTAGTCATCTGATGTGCTTCTGTTAACCGTTCACACTTTGCTGTGCTTCGGCATTCATGCAAACGTGTTCTTTTCATTCTTGAAATGTTTTTTTATGTGAAGTGACAGGATTCTGCAAGGGCTGTTTTGTTTTCGTTATCATCGATGAAGTGCGTACGCTGGTCCACACGCATCGCGGCTTTTGAGCCACATCTCACTGCGTCATCCTCAGCTTCAGTATTTTCATTCATATATAACCATTTCGACCATCAGCCATTCACTGGAAAATAAAGCTTTGCATTTATATGCTGCGTTGTATACTTTGTTTTTTCCTCTTTGAAGTCATCTGGCGCGCATCCCACTCCTAACAATGCGTCGACAGCAAACTTCGGACCGTTCATCACTTCTGGCGTCACAGCTCAGCGTCCGCTCTTGTGTAAGGAGAGCTCGCGCCTTCCCAGTGCAGTTCACTCATCTGGTGCTGCAGCGTCCTCTCAGGTAAGTTTCCGTAAATTATTCCACTCCATTACTGATTGTTTACTTTTGTGACGGGAAATTCTGGTTATTTCTTCCGGGGGTTCACGTCAGCAACAAGACGCCTTGTCTTCCAGAGCTTTTGGACCAGGATGCTCTTTCATCGGAAACTGCTTTACAGTGCATACAGTGGATGGACCACCAGGTATCCTTACTTTATTGTCATCCGCCTGCTTGACCAACTCAAACCATTTTTTGGTTTGCTGCGCATTAGGTTGCCATCCCACACTCCACTCTGTGTTGAGGATTCAGTTGACCCATTTTCTCTCCGAATTTAACCTCCCATTAGAGAAGGTATTCACTTACTTGACTATATTAGCCGCAGCTACAGTGTTGACTGGTCAGTGGACTTCATCGTGTCCGTCACGTCGATACCGGATCTTAACATTGTGTCTATTTACATACATTCGTGATCCATTGAGCTACACTGGGGAGCAACTTCCACGCGGCTTCAGAGCAACTCACGCCCGACTTATCCATCGTTAGGAGTCGGGCGAACGTTGTCTCAGTATCCTCTTCATCGAGGTTTTGGAGTGGTCAGCTGCTATCCTTGTTCATATCTTAGCCAATGACGTGCGGATCATAGACTCAGCTCGATTGCTGCGAAGTATGAATACTACGCGTTGTGTCTGATGGCCGCGGTACGCTTCTTTTTCTCCAGCTACGTAGTAAATTACAAACCCGCCATATTCATCTGCGGTTGTCCGTGGTCGCAGACGGGCCGTTGACAGGCCAGAAATCCCGGTATGCTGACAATAGCCAGTGCCAAGCAGTTCCCACTGAGACTCTACAGCCGCGTCTCTTAGTGGAAACTGCTCCATGCAGCTTCGTGGATCAGCCGATTGCTCCACAAACCAGATGTTGAGTACCTCGAACAAAACTGCTGTCTCCGAATGATCATCCCTTGAGTATCATATGTCAATAGTTCCGTGTCAATTCCCTCGACAATTGACTATATGTCATTGGCAATCTTTACTATTCTGTTTCCCTTCTCTTTCACATTTCCTCTTCCGTGCTGACTCCATCATCCCCACTGCTAAGGAGGCTGGATCCTCTTTCAAAGCTAGAGTACACTAGGTCTTTCAACGTTTGCTTGCTCTGGCAGAATTGACTTTTTCTATGTATCCAATTCCTCGGAGTTGATGCGTTCTGTTTCTCCGAAACAAGTATGCAAGTCCATAGATTCGCAATACGTTTGCAGTCATCAGACTCGATTTTCACACACTGTGTTCGCACAGTTAGCACTCGCAATAACGAGGACTCAATGACTCGCTATGTTTACGTTATTTGAGTCGCTGCCAACAGATGTTAAGAAATCTCTTCTAGTCTGTATTCCAGTGAATGGCCGCGTGTTTGTGATCTGATTATCAGGCTCCACTGAGGTTAGTAAACAGCAACCGAATGCAAGCTGCATTTTGTTCTTTCCACTTGTGCTTATGGTGACTGAAGCTCAGAGGTTGTCACGGATGCATTTCAAGAGTAGCCCTCTTCCCTTATCCAAATGACGACATGAATACTGAAGTCTTGTTTATCGGGATCGAAACTTCACCCTGGAAGCCGTTTTGGGGCCAATGATTGTCGTGCTGACAATGGCGACTGGCTTCTTCAGCTTAGCACCTACCAGCAACTCAAAGTTCTAGCATAATCGCTTTCATTGAATTACGTGTCGCCCACCGAAGGACAGACCACTCTGGACGCCAGTTGTCCATGTCGTCATCGCCTGTAAACGGCATACGCCCATGTAAGTTGCTTGTCAATCGACCCAGTGAAGTTGCCACTTTCTAACCATGCTTCCATAGGTGACCATTTAACTCTCCTGTTTTGTCCAATCGTTTTGCTCCGAAGGCACTCACCCCTCACTTGTATTCGTAACTTACGCAGTAGCAACGACATATGAAGCGGACGAATTGGGCACGTACTGGGCCATCCCCAATGTGCGATGCAAACAGCATTGGGAACCGCTTGTCCGACCAAATTAAAGCCGCTGAACATTCGGTGAATTTCTGAAGCTTCCATGTACCTGACTGAGACACGCATAACGTTCCCATCAGTCCGCCATCTGCATTATTTCTAGCAACACATTGACACGTCGTTTGACTAAGTGCCTCATAATTGACCAGATGTATCAGGAGTTGGTAATATCTTGAGACCAAATGGTCAGAGCCATGGGTGTAACATAGATGACGTCCCAATTCGTTCGGCGCATGGATCGAAGAGTGGCCCATGTGAATGAATCAATAGCGGAGAAACTGGGACGGTTGGACTGTCGGATGGTTTGGTTTGAACACTGTGCCGAATGCTTCAAGGAGCATTGCAGACAGCCCTGTGTATCAAAATTGTTAGCCGAGTCACCTGAACGCCCTCGAAACGTAGTCCTGAAAGCTCCAGTGGTCAACAAGATCCGACACACGTATGTTGCTCAGACACTACAGAAGTCCCGGTCCAGAATACCTCCCTTATCATTACTGAAGGATAGTGACAACTCAGTAGTAACCACACTGCCTTCTCCGTTCGACAGTGTTTAGCGTAAGTAGGAAGCGCTCACCGACTAGCAATGATATACCGTTATTCCCATCTTTAACATAGGCGAAAGGATGTCTTGCGACGATCGCCGTGGTATCAGGTTGAACACATTTACTCACGCTACGTCGGATCACTGATCCTCATGGAAAATTAATCAGTGGAACTCAAGCCGACTTCTGCTCCTACACAAGGCGCATTGACCACATTCATGCTCTTCGACAGATGCTTGAACATCAACATTCTTGCAAACAGCCTATTGTGGTTGCCTCTCTTGCTTTGAAGACTACCTTTGTGTTGCTCGACTGCACCTGTTTTTCGGGTCTCTCTTTGAAAGACCTCTGTATTACGACTCCCGTAGTCTTGCATTTTCCTACGGGAGACTCCTGCACTCATCACAACATGGATGTACCGTTTCTACGTTTCTCTTCAACTATCCTCGTAATGATCTAAATTGACTATCTCCCGCCTTTTCCCACTTCCAACTGCGTCGATGTTCTATTGGATGGCCAGATATCAAATCGAGACTGTGCGGATGACACGGTTCTGTTTGAGTCGGACGCAGCTGTTATGCAAGCGCTGCTGACTAGATTGACCCGTAGCGCTGCACGCTTCGGTCTATACTGTGCACGTCTAATGAGCAAAGTAATGATACCTGGCTACACCGAGTCATCATCAGTTCCCACTGTCACTGAACAGCCGTTCGAGCTGGTCAACCAACTCGTCAACGTATTCTGGTAGCTACATACTCTCTGTCAGCTATTTCATGGAGGGGGTTAGTGCAACTATTTGTAAGGATTGCATGGACTTTGGTATTCTCAGTCACATATGGAGACGGTGGCACTTAAGCCTATTCGCTGAGGTAAAGGTTTCCAACTCTGCGCTGTGACCAGTGTTGCTGGATGTGTTAGAGACTTGGCCGATACTTGTTGTGAACACCGAGAAACAGACTGTATTTGACCATTGACACCTACCAAATGTTAATGATTTATTGCCGGATGACTAATGCGGGCAGTTATCGTCCTGCTTTTTTCGACAGCACTTCCTGCGTTTTATTAGAGCGCCTGTTGTTCTTGGATCGCTTGCAGTGTGCAGAACACGCGCTCTGCATACCTGGTTCCTTTGTGTGTGCCGATTACCAATGATCCACCTAGTTCGGTGAGATCTTTGTACGGCCCTTGAATGACATGGCAAAAGAACATTGACAACCTGACCGAAATTTTGGGTCTGGTTATTTCTTATCGTTTTCCCTGACAGAGTCCCTGTGCTCTGCTACGTCGGTGCTCAACCGCACTGTTGAATATAATCCATTTGTCCTTTTGTTTCCATTCCATCTAACGATTTAACTTTATACCTGTTCCTCTTAACTTATTGCCACCATTATTTATGTTACTGATGTTTTGGTCACGTGCATCAATGCAAATGGGATTCCTCGCACTTCTTTGCACGGCCTGTAGTTAGAAAAAACTGAACTGAACTGTAACGCCTCGCCGTATTTCGGTACCCGGATCAATGTTACCAAGAGATTGACGGGTGTTACGCAACACAACAGTTTGAGTGAGTTTTCTTTGCTCCTTTTACTGATCGAGAATTCTCGGAGGGTAAGGACTTCGTTTATTTTTGATCTAATATGTTCAGCTCTTTCTGCGTCCGTCTAATCAAAGCACTACGATATTGTTTAGCGGTCTTCTCGACGAGCACGTACACCCTCATCTGGCGCTGGGCTTCAATCGACCTTGTTGGATTCCATCGGTGTACATTTGGTGCAAATATGCACGAATGTTTAATTTCCCCCCTCAACCAGGAATTCTCACCGATTGGCATTTCTTGGTGCCATCGCGAACCTGCTCCCTCTCGATCTATCATGAGCATAGGACAGCCACGCAATTTAGGTAACGCTATGGAGAATATCGAATGCGAATAGGTGTTGTGTGTGTTGGCAATTCGCAACGCTGCACTGCACGACCGTTTCCGCGCTTGCTTGCGGTCGTCTGATGGAGATAGCAGTATTGTGAGTCGAACCGAGACTACCAGACGAATGCTTTACTCCGACACTCTACTGAGTAGCGGACAACGCTTGTCACAATGATTAATGGTTTATTGGTAGTGTCATTTTCAGGCACTTGTTTGTCCACAATGTTTGGTTGGTGTTTGTTTTGCTTCTGTTGGATACTCTTAATCCGGCCTCTGACATCATTATGGCTTTTCTCCCGTCCATTTTTGCCAGCCCCCTTCCGAACATCGTGTCGAAGAACTCTAATGATTACGGCTCTTCCCAATCTTTCTGACGCTAACCTGTCTGCACTCTGATGTGGTGGTGGGCATCGCTGAGATGGGTGACTAACTTATTTCGTCCCCACTTCACTTTCTACTAGTGCTCGGCTTCATTCCTCAATTGTAACCTTGTTCTGTTTTTGTTATTCTGGTGCCTATCCTAATAATGTGCCTCTTGAGGCTTTGTTGTCACCCCTAGAGCTACCTGTACCAAATTTGCCAGTTACTGAAGGTCTAGTCAACTCAATCTGGTGTTCCAAGTCATGTGGTGGAACTTTAGTGCGCATTTAGCAATGAACATGTGAGCCTTATTGGGGATCCTTGTACTTCTGTTCCACTTTGGTCTAAAATACTTGTATTTTGTTTCCTTCCTGTCACTCTGATCGTACCCTGGTACAATTACTCTGCGTTAAACGCAGCGACCCATTATTTCCTCAAATAAACTACTTCATCTGTCTTGTGCACGAACATCAGCATAAAGTTTAACGATTTAGCGCATAGAGTAGTTGCTTCATATATTCCTGTTCGACTCCTCTCAGAGCCTAAATCTCAATCCCTTTAGGTAGCGGATTCCGTTGGCGAGAGATGTTTGGAGGTCGCAACATTTACTTCAATTTACACTTCTGCATCTTGCGCAACAGAAGCATCTTTACTCAATCACCAATGAAACATCAGTGCCCGATACCTCCACCCGTGTCACATTTTCGTCCCTTGAAGTACTAAAGACAACAAACCGCATCTGTATTTCTGTTGGCCTCTACGGACGTATATTTGCGCCGTCTTCTAATTTGGGATTCCCATTCCATTGGCACAGTTGGTCGGCTTATTGCATACTCGCCATTTAATCCACTTCATGTTCACCTCCGGTACTTCAGTAGGCACAATTTGGAGCTAAAGCAGCATCTGTGTATCGCATTGCCAGCTTTTGGTCATCATTGGTAGTCATCTGCGCAGTACTCAGCAACACGCGTTTCCGGACTTGTTCAACTTCCTGTCTGTGTGGTGGCCTAGAATCGGTGCAAGACAGGTCGGTACATTGGTACTTCGATCTACTCGATGGTTGTATTCTTTGGCACTCTGCGCTTAGTTCTCTTCTTCGGGTTCAGTCGCACACACCTTTACTATAGCACACTTAAGGCCGATGGTTGCACCTATCAGGTTGGACAACTTCATGCACCATGGGTTTTTGAATAAAACTTTATGCACTTTGGAACCAGTCACACACACGCATCATTCTCAAAAAATTTAGCGGGACTTGATGTAGGGGAATTCGGAAATCAGACTACTTTGAGATTCAACTTTACACGTGTGACGTATGGTTAGGTTTGCAGATTGACTGAATATTACTCAGCAATGAGCTAGAATCTTTCCGGTGCATCCCTACTCTTTGCCGATAGTGAAACGATCGGCAACGATGAGCATGCTAATCGCAAACGTACGTTGCGATGGTTCGTAAACGCGTTGCTGAGAGACAAGATTCGTATTTGTGTCTTGGAGATTTGTGAATATTCGTGTACTGGCGAATGAATAATCAACGATGACAAATGGTAGGTTTGCAATTTGTGAACCTTCGCTTCACCCGCTGCTAGATTCGTCCATAGTGTCGAACCCGCTGCTTGCCCTAATTTCGCCTTTTCACGCCTTCACTTCCCGTCATCATCGTTACCCACTACTTTTTTTTAGAGACGGCCAGATGTTGATGTCAATTCACGCCCAAATGCCAACTTTAGTCCACGTTTATCCGATGAATCGAGACCCAATCGACCGCGGCCCCAGTCGACAGGCTCTCTGAGCGGTCCTCTGTCTGGAATTGCGTCGGCCACACTTTGCACAATGGGACTCCATTCGAGTTCGGGCGCGTCGAAGCAACGCGACAACGTTGGTGCTGGTCGGCTTATTCCTCTGAAACAAGGCTATTTGTATAAACATAAGACACCACGCATTGGGAAAGAGGTGAAGCGAAAGAAGAAATATGTGGTCATTACTGCGGACGCGCGGCTGTCTTATCATCCTTCGAAGCAGGCAAGTATCTTGCTCATCCTCCCCTCAGTACGATTGCCAATGTGATACAACCTTCAGATAGGAGAGTTTCGTAGCATTTTTGTCACATATTACTCCTTGTTCACATCCCGTAGCTTTCTCTACCAGGGGTTATGGTTGTCCTTGGGCCCGAAAACACGTAATTGTGAGTGGCCTACCACATCCATCAGTGATGGTTGTGGATGTACTTCAAGCCCAAGTTGTGTGTCGAGTGCATTGCTGTTGCTTCCATCCATTTCTTCTGTGCATAGAGGATATGCTATGGGGTCATTCTACCCGACAGATCACAATACTTCACTAAATAAATGAATCAATGCTTTGTTCCTCGGCAGTACGAGACACAGTCCGAATGGTTGGTTCGATCAAATTTTACTGAGATCGCAACCAACACTCTTCAAGTTGTTGACAAGAAAAACAGTTCTTTGACGATTCTTCAGATTGATTCAACTATTAGGCGCAACCGAGGGGTATAGAAATTGATTTTGACGGGTTATGAAAGTAACTCGGTAGCTTTTAATTTTTCACCTCTTGGCAGTACAGGCTTTTGTGAGAATACAAATAGTCCTAACGGCACGAGACACGTTGAAAAAGGGGATCTATAGATGAATAGATAAATATTAACATGTATCGACGATTCTGTATCGCAATCATACGATAAAATAGCTGTCCGGATAACAAACGTACAATTCCTAGTAATCAGACTAACAAGAACGCCAAAAGCGCAGTCGAGTGCCTTCAGTCAGGCAACTTCAGAAAAGATCGTTCCTATTTCGGCCACTCTAAATGTGGGTCATTTTGCTTCTCAGTGGAGGGACATTAGAATTGAAAAAAGCAATGAGTGCTGAAGCTCTCCTAATGTGGAAAAAGCAGATGATAACAAAGGGGAGATTTGGAATCACTGAATTGCCTCTGGTCATTATATTTGCACTGCTGTCAGTGTGTTTGGCTTCGGGAGGCTACGGATCCACCTAGGGGTCTAGTAACTAGATCAAAGATGAAAGCAAAGAGTGAAAGTGGGCTTTGCAGACTGTCAACACGGTAGTTTTACCAATATCACACAGTAGCCTTTCGAGCAAAGTATATGTGTGAGAGAAATAATGACCACGGAGAGATTTGGAGTTGATGCAATTTGTCTGGCCTTCAGATCTACAAGACTGTTGCGGGCCCGTCAAATATCCTCGCAAAAACGCGCCAGAAACCCCGGCATAATGGCTGTGGAAAGCGGGGTCCAATTCCTCCTCACAACGTAGCAGAGTTCAGCCACTCCGAGACGCGGCCCAACTGCGCGCCTTTTGACAATGGTATTTTGCAAACTACCACCTCGTCGTGGTAGCAATCTTCCCTAACTTAATAACCCATAGCATTGGCTGTGATTCGCCCTTTGTTGGTCGTAAAAGAGCCTTCAGAGGACCGCCTGTCTTGCTTTCCTCTTCGCCTTACTTGTGAGTCGGTCGGGTCACATGATTTTGCGTGCGTCGTTAGCCAGGCAACGTTCGCGTCTAAGTCACTAACGCGCATCTACCGTAGCCCCCTCTCGTGTGCGTCCGTTCCGAGGGCTCAGCGTCTACCCGAATACGTGCGGCTAGGATCGTTCTCACGCCCGCTCAATTTCCGTCTCACCAGCGCGTACCCCGGGCTAAGCTAACGCCATCAGGTCAACACAAATCCGTTCGATTGGTCCGCGGTCCAGGCCATTACAGCAGGCGTGCTCCAACCGTGCCAGTGACAATCTTGTCAGGCATCTACGCAATCATAACAGCGGCGTCCCTCAATTATAACAAAGACAGTCGGCGTTTTCTCTTTCACGGGATTTCATATCCTTTCAAGTACGAAAACGTTAGTTTCCTATTACCTAAACCTAAAGTTATAGGCTAGATTCTGCAGAATTTTGATCCAGATTTTTCGTGAAAAGATGTGGATGGATCGGGGAAGTAAGCTCGTGTGTTCAGTGCGGAGCACGTATGTGATCACTTTTTTTCTGCCACAGGCGACATCCAGCGGAAGAGGTGAACATCCTAGTTTTCTCCGCGAGCGACAGATGGCGTTACTAGACGGGTTAAAGTATGCTATTCCAACTTGGGGGTCATTGCAGTTAATGTGGGTGTTTTCATTGCTACGCTTCAAGTCAGAATGCCTTTTTGATAGAAACTAGTAGTTGCGTCGAAGCAGTTTGGGGAAATTTCGTCGCAGCTAAATTTAATCAAGCCGACATAGCTCGCAAATTCGGCCGATGCCCGAAAGATTTACACCTTTGCCTTGCAATCCGGAGGTCACCGATCCGAATCCGCGCATGTACTGGCGATCTCACGGTAAGCCCATCCCACACGCGATTTGTGGTGGTTGCGTGACAGCGAAGCGTCGGCGCAGTGTGCGGGCGTAGTACTGACGCCTTTTTTATAGCTCTAGAAATAGCTGTGAATGGCCGCCGTCACCCATGGCTACGTGGCGTTATGTCTGCTTCGAATGAGGATAGTTGTGGGTTCAAATCACACAGGATCTCAATGGAGATAACACATTGTTTTCATACCTATAACTTCCCCAGATGTGTGGCGGATGTGCAATTAGACCGCACACAGCGATCCTGTTTGGAATTCACCAAGTTACCCTGCAAAATGTACCTTTTCTGCTATTGAACGGGACGCTGCTCGACATAGCTGCTGTTTTTACTGGTTCTTCAATGCTGTGTTGTGCAACGTTAACGGTGCTTTCTTATTACTTTTTAAAGCTTAGAGCTTCCCCTCAGTAACGACCGTTTGTTCCCATTGTGTGGCGACCTCAGCATGCGCTACCAATTGCCGTTTTAGCTGAAAATGTGTTAAATTTTGCCCACTACCCCAACACATTTCGACTACACCTTATTAATTAAGTCACCGTTTGTATTCATTGTACATAAAGCTCCATGACATCAAGCGTATACTAACGCTGTAATGTATGCTCCCGGTTTTTTGAAATGCCCAGTTATGCTTGCTATTCGCTAAGGCTTCCGGACGCTTTCACTGCCATGCACTGTATTGCACCACGTATATTCTGCAGGTCGAGGTTCTCAGTTTAGCACCATCGGATGCGCACATTTCTAACGGAACTGTCATGGATCAAAATTGATTTACCGCCGCAAAAGTTACTGGAGGACCTTGAAATTGACGCTGAGTGCCTTTTTATTCTCATTTGTGCCGGAATGGTCACTTTCTGTTGCACACTCATTAATGACTCTAAGATGCATCACCTGTCAGTGGACAGGATGATCTTCTCTCTTCGTGCCCATTTTGATCGTCTTACATTCCAAAAAGGTGTCATTTTCTCACAGGTACCCCTGCAAATTGAGGCCGTAATTACCTATCCTGTCCATTGACTTCTCAGGGTTTGTGATGCGAGTCAATTCTATTTGTTTGGCAGTACTATGAACTCTTACTGTTATGTACCTCTGGGGGCAAGTCTGATCCCACAGTTGATCTCACTTCAGAACACAGAAGGGCTGCCACACCAATGAGTTTCTTGACACAGCACACACACTCGGAACGGGGAGGAAGGAAACACTCAACCAGTCATTCACTGTCGGTTCCTCATTCATTTAAGTAGGACCCAGGAAGTATTTGTGTGGTTGTAAGAACAGGTAGAAGGAGCAAGTGTATCATATCACATAACGGTGTTTGGATTGCAGACATGAATTGTTCTGGTACAAAACATGGTTCATTGTGACAAAATAAACACACTTGTCTTCTCAGCAACTCATGTTCCGGAATGTGTACAGTTACAAAAAGTCCAAGCAATTCGCCAGCCAAGTTATACTTTCTGGACATTCCGCCTTTGCATAGGTGCGGCTCCACATCTCCCCCCGCGAAAAATAATTGCTAGTCATACGAACGTTTTTGTGGGTTTACCTGTAGTCACATAGTTGGCTTCCGGGTGCAATCATTACGTCTTGGTTGCAAGCTCTTTTCCTCCGGGACTGTCGCACATTCCTCATCAGGCACGCGTGGCGTTCTAGAGGGTGGTATATCGAAACTGTTTAAGAGAAAATCAAATGGCAGAATTCGATTATCTGTACTCTGTGGGATATTGGTAGATCTCAACTGATTTGCATGCCTAGTCCAAATAAAATCACCGACCTTGACTTTATAGATCACTCTTCCTATTTGATTCTGAATCGTACCCGTTGTCCAAAGAGGTTTACCTGTGCGATAATCTCTTACCAAGACTCTGCCCCGCATGAAAATGACGTTCTTGAGTTCTATTTCGCTGATTATATTACTTCTCCATCTTTATATTTCTGTCTTGTGGATTAGTGCCCTTCGGAAGTAGCGACGTATTAACCGTGCGGATTTTCCTTCCCATTAAAGCCTCTGAGGGTGACGCGTTGTTTGGCACTTGAGGGTTTGGGGTTGATCTGTACATAAGTAGAAAAATATCTAATATCTCCTGCATAGTCCCCTCACCCCGCATTTTAAGTAATGTACGTTTGAAGGTATCAACAAAACGTTCAGCTTGTCCATTTGATTGGGGATGGAAGGTGGGTGTGCGTAAATGTGTAATACCAACCTGTGAACAGTATTCGGCAAACTGGTAGGAAGTAAATTGGGAAACGTTGTCGGTGACTAAAATCTCCGGTATCCTATGGTGGCTGAATAGTGTTCTGAGTACCTTAATGATGGCGCCACTGGTTGCATGCTCCATCGGGAAAACCTCAGGCCATTTACTTTAAGAATCTACAACGATGAGGAAGTGCTGTCCATTGACATGGCCAAAGAAATCCGCATTTATGCGTTGCCAGGGTTTAGTCGGCAAAGGCCACGTAGCTAATTCGGTTTTCCGCGGTGATTCACTGACAAGCGCGCACCGTGAACATGTCTTCACCAAGCGCTCGAGGTCCACATCGATGTTTGGCCAATAAACGAAACTTCGAGCGATCATTTTCATTCTGCTAATACCGGGTTGACCTCGATGAAATTGCCGTAAAATACGCTGGCAAAGTTCCACCGGAATGACAACTCGATCAGCTAGGAGCAAACATTCATTAACGACTGATAGCTCATCTTTTCTTAGGGACAAGTTGTGTAACTCCCCTGTGAGGTTATCTTTGGGCCACTGTGTTGTGTGGTATTTTATTGCCTTTTGAATGATTGGATCGTGGGTGGATGCGGCACGAACCATTTCAAAGGTAATCGGAAGCTTGCAAAGTGTCTCTATCAGCACTTGGTTTACTTCTGATTCTAAGGATATGGTTGCGATGATGGTGTCCTCTCTCTGAGGTTTGTGATTTTCTAACAACCGTGAAAGTGCGTTAGCCTGGCCTATATTCTTTGTGGAAACGTACTTAGTTTCAAAATCATAGCCAAGTAACGTGATAGCCCAACGTTGCGGCCTGTTTGCTGTATAAACGGGTATGCCTGACTTTGATCCAAAAATTGCTAGCTGTGGTTCATGATCAGTAAGGAGGGTTAACCCCCTTCCGTATAGCATCTTATGGAATCTCTTTACCGCGAAGACTATTGCCAGGGCCTCCTTCTCTATCTGACCGTAGTTTCGTTCTGCTGGGGTTAACGACCTGGCTGCGTGCGCAGTAGCTTTCTCTGAGCCATCTGGGAACTTGTGGGAAATAACTGCTCCAACGCCGTAGTTTGAAGCATCCGCAGCAAGTATAATTTTCTAGGTGGGATTGTAGTGTGTCAACAAAAGATCGGAATACAACATATTTTTTACCTCCTCAAATGATTTTTGGCATTGTTCAGACCAGTACCAACGCTTATCTTTGCGCAGTAGATCATTAAGTGGACCACATACACGATGCATCTGTGGAAGGAATTGGCTATAGTGACTGATGAGGCCCAAGAATGAGCTCAGTGTTGTAACGTCTGTAGGAGGAGACATTCTCATAATTACTTCCAAGTTCGAGGGGTCAGGCGGTCTGTCGTCCTTGTCAATAATGAACCCCAGGAGGGTGATTGAATGCATGAAATACGTGCACTTTTCAGGATGGAATCTGAAGCCATATTCCTGAATGCGATCAAGGATTCGACCTAGCTTGTTAAAAAGATCATTCACACTTAATCCCACAACAGTAATATCATCCAAGTATGTGGCAGCGCCATCGATATCAGTTAACATGGTGTCCATGATTTGTTGAAATATGGCTGGCGCAGTTTTGACACCAAATGGGAAGCGGTGATATTGATAGAGACCTCTGGGTGTTTATTGTAAGTAACTCCCTAGAGGGTTCATCAATCGATTTGAATGTATGCATCTGATAGATCTAACTTTGCAAAACATCTGCCACCGTTCAGTGTAGCAAACATGTCCTCAGGAAGGGATAAGGGTTATTGGTGGTTGTTGAGGGATGCATTTAACCCTGTAGAGAAGTCGGCACACAATCTAATTTGACCATTAGGTTTTTTAACCACCACGATCGGGGCTGCCCAGGAGAGATAGTTAACTGCATGAATGACGCCAGTTCTCTCTAGACGGTCTATCTCTTGGTCAACAACTGGCATTACGGCATAAGGCACGGGACGTTTAGGACGAAATATCGGAACGGCATTAGGTTTGAGAGATAACGAAGCAATTACTTTTGTACACTTACCGAGTCCTTCAGAAAAAAACAGTGCGGTATTCCTGCTTAAGGCGTTCAATTGCGATTGTTTCCGGGAATTGTGGGCCGTGTAGTCTGAGGTTTGCACAAACATAATTTAGTGGAATATCCAGGAGATTGAAACGTTCAATCCAATCTAACCCCAACAGGTTCAAATTACTGTGGGTTATGATAAAAATTGTCCCCCAAGCAGTAAAACCGGTAAAGCGACACTCACACGGAGCGGGGAGGAAGGAAGCACTCAACCAGTCATTCACTGTCGGTTGTTCATTCATTTAATTAGGACCCAGGAAGTATTTGTGTGTTTGTGTGGTTGTAAGAACAGGTAGAAGGAGCAAGTGTATCATATCACATAACAGTGTTTGGATTGCAGACATGAATTGTTCTGGTACAAAACATGGTTCATTGTGACAAAATAAACACACTTGCCTTCCCAGCAACTCATGTTCCGGAATGTGCACAGTTACAAAAAAGTCCAAGCAATTCGCCAGCCAAGTTATACTTTCTGGACATTCCGCCTTTGCACAGCTGCGACTCTACACTTACCATACAAAAAACAAGTAAACAACATTTTTTCCGTTGTAGGATTACATCAGTGGCCAGCGCTGCAAATCCATTGACTTGACAATAACCACGGTGAAACTACCCGGTCTAGCCTACCGGATGAGTCCGGGCAACCCATCTTCGTCTTTCTTCTCCTCGGACGCATCCACTCAAAGTCTGACCGAGATGAACTCCTCCTTCATTCTACCCTCTCTAGTGCCAGCACCGATTTCCACCGGCACAAGCACTCCCAGAACGTCTGCCCCGCATTCGCCCGCTCTCGGCTTGACTGATTCTTTGAATTCATGTCATTTGGAATCCAAAGGCGGTGAGTGCAAAATGGCTGCTTACATCTCCCATTAATCACACATGTGTGCATCCCAAACATCGTCCACATGAGCGTCCATCATCAATGCCCTTGCCATCTTGTGCAGCGCTTTCACTCTTAGTTGCTGACTGAACGAAGCTGCTTAGTCACCTTAATTGAGCATGATATGTCTTCAAGTCAAATCAGACTACGCACCTCGGTTGGTACATTTTTCATTATCTTAAACTATCAATGCGAATAGAGAAATACATGACTACTGCGCATCAGCAGTACGCCAATGCGCAGTACCGACGCTTCGTTGTCCCACGACCACCAGCACAAGTTGCGCGTGAGCTAAGGATACTGATAGGGTCTCCCGGTCTCTACACATGATCGTACCTGCGCCCTCAGATTGCAAGGCAGCCTTGTTATCCTCCGGGCTACGGACCGGCAAGAAATATATGAAAGTAATAGATGAAGGCAAATAGTGTCTAACGCAATATGTGTTTAGTGTATCACTCAAGTAAACAACTGCGCGTTATACGGATGCCTTTCTTTGGGTTAACAAGTAGTCGTGACAAGTACTGTAGGGTACAAATGTGGTAAGGGACAGTACGAGAGAATAAGACTAACTTTAGAGCGTGTGGAAGAAACAAATAGCGCTTTCGATAGATCACCATGTAGTGGGTGGAAAGTTGTTTAGAAATTTGTAGGAAAGCGTCCGTATGTTTGTGACGGAAAAATTCAAAAGCTGTCTCTAGACAGTCCGCTGCATCTGGAAATAAGTTTTTACCGACGTAAGAACAATGTGTACTTTTTGAGTAGCTCAGGGAAATTGCAGGGGAACAGTAAAGTCGGTGAAGCAATTAAAGGTTTAAAAATCAAATCACCAGGTACTGAAAGTATTTAAACTCTGAGGACATAGAAAGATAACCTACTAACCTTGTGAAACGTTTCGGCGACGTGTATACGCCAATATAGGTTTTGGGATTAAAAGACTTCAGGATATTTGATGTTCTGCGTATGAGTTGATCACTCACTGCCAGTGAGGAAGTGGCATTTGAAACAGCTTGTAGCTAATCACGACATTTGGGAATGTACATACTGAGCGACCGGGACAATGACCACACACAGACTCATCCATACCACACTGAAGAGTAGAGGTCTCAACGTTTGGATCTATACATACCATGATGACATCATCGGCATACTTGCATCCAATAAAGTTGGGCGATATAGGAAGTTTCTCGGTAGATAAAGAAAACAAATGGGAAGAGAAAATCGCTCCTTGTAAATCCATGGTTGGAGCAAGGTGAAGAGGGCTTAAGCTGGGTTAAATAGGTACGTTTTGTAAAGTAGTCTATAATCACGCTGCAGACATCTGTATGAATCCCATTCGTGAGCAGCAGGTTGAGCATGATTCATCTGTTGACGCTCTAGGAAACGTTTGAATAATCAAGGAACAGCAGCACGTTCCCCACTTTTTTAATCCAGTGCAGATGATACCGAATGTACAAGATGCAATACAGCATTCAGTGTTGGGCAGTCAGGTTTGTAGGCAAACTGATATACATCGTCTGCCTGGGTGTTTGTACAAATCAGAGGGACAAGTAGTTTCTCGACGACTTTCAACATCACCCTCGTACATGATATCGGACCACAGCTTGGAGACTCCTTCTTGCGCACAAGCCTTTTCTTACAGTGGTTTAACAGAACGATTGAGGATACCCGCGCATTCATTTGGGGCGATTGCGAATAAATAACCAGATCCAATAGACTTAGTTATCTTTACTTATTTATGTTCCCTGCAAACATGGAGTGACCAAGGCTGACTGCGCTGCCTTCATTGTTGAAGAAGAGCAGGGAACGCATACCCTGTGAGGAAACACACAAACCTCAGCATGGAGTCTGTCCACATCCATGTTACGAAGATGCTTTAGGGAACTTTTACCTCGCAGATGCTTTAAAAGCGTCCGAAATTACGATCCTGATGATTACTTAACACCGTTTTAATGTCTAAACAACTCAGTCGCGTGATCTTCGAATTTGTTGCCAACGATAGTCCTTTAAGCTGGGTAGACCTGTTGAATTTATAGCCCTGTTCTTTTCTTCCTCTAAGTTGCTGCAATCTCGACGAAGCGAATCTGTCCTTGTGTATATAGATAGTTTCAACAAGGAAGTATAGAACAAATTAGTAGTTGCTTATCCGGTAAGGTGTTTGCACTCCAAAAGTGGTTTTCTTCCGTGAACACTGAAAGTCACTTGAAGTCAGCGTCTCATGGAGTTTATCCGTATTTGCTGTTGAGCATTCTCACCGTCTGATGGTCTTGTAATGTTTTTTGTCTGACACAATTTTGGTTTTACTGTAAATGACTGGGCATATCTTCAGGACTCAGTTGTCTGAGTTGCTGAGAGGAGCCCGCTTGGTAGTATAAATCAACTGAGGTTTCTTTGTGAAAACAAAGTCCAACTGTGTCATTTCTGGTTTCGAATATGGATTTGATATCACGTTTGTTAACGTCACTGGCAACGATACAAACAGGGCACACAATTTTAGTTAATAACGCTGGTGAGAAATGATCTATGAAATCTTTAAGCTCTTACGACTGTGTCAGGGGCTATTTCGATTGTTCCGATGATGACGGATTTCGGTTTGCCCTCGATTAAGCTATTGCTAATTTTTGGTGTTGCATATGTAAACAGCAAGGTTGCGGCACAGTAGCTGAGGTGTTATCCACCTCTAGCTAACGTGTATAATGATGAGACATCAAGGTAACCGAATTACAACGTACTTGAGATGATAACGCCACCTCGATTCTGCGGCTTTTCATGACGACCATGGAGTTGAATAACCTCATCACCCACATCAGGATTTAACCAACTTTTTTGTAACATTATAATGCATGCGTTTTACAGATTTCTTTACTCTACGCAGGGCCACTGAGGTCGGCAGCTTTGCCAAGTAGAGGGCCTATATTGATAGTGTGAATTAGTGGTATTTGCATTTTATTTATGGGTTCAATGTCTGAGTCCAGCTTGCCATCCAACACGGTGCTTTCTCACTCTACCAAAGCGTTTAGAAAATTCCTTCGATGGTGTTTCTGACTCTGTGACCGCATTCTACAAAAGGCGCGTTTTGCACAGCGTTCCGGAACAATTTCAAAAAGTCGGCAAACTAGGATAATATTGATGATCTCCTAAGTATCCAGAGAACTGCACAACAAAATTAACAAACGCATTAGATAGCGTGAAAATGGTACTCCAAGGTGGAACATCAATGCCTGACTCGAAGGCCCCACCGCGTGTGTCGAAATATGGCACCACACACCCGTGCTGTCTTTTTGGAAGTCACATCTTCCTTCATTCTCTCTGCTACTGTCCGGGCGCGGCAAATCGTAAAAACCGCGGAAAATCACCATGTCACTCAGCCTTGCGCCATACTCATGCGTCTTGACAATCCGGTCTTAGCCTCATCCAAGGGTTATTTTCATTAGGTTCAGAGATTACTACAGCTTAAAGACTCTTGGCTCGACCATTTTACACTGGCACATTTACTTCTACGATCCATCCACCTTTTCTGCCGCTTGGATTCCACATTGCCAGCAAAGTAGGAATGCGGTTCGAGGCTGATAATGTCTTGGTTTTCAATTTGGCCTCTGCTTCTGACTCCTTTATCCACAGTGACTCGCGACTGAATAAAGTCACTGTCCACAAACTAACACTGGCAAGTTAACCAGAGCGAAATTTCACATCATTTCAATATATTTTGGATATGGACACTAAAAAGACACTTCCGTGTTTATACGTTCCGTCTCCAGTCTATTTGTTACGCTTTTACACATTTTTGATCCCGAAATTTCGCCACATCATTAAAGATACCGTGTCTGACCAATGCATCCACCATTTCGGCAACTTCTATATATTGTGTGAACATCGCATTTCACGCAAAGCAATGTGCCTGTTGCGGAACAATCGCTTGTAAAGTCTTGATCATGCCAGATTTGGTGTGCCTCGAAGTATTGGTGAATAAATTATTTATTTATTTGTTGCATGTCATTTACTTATGAAGTATCATCAGTACACTATACGGGGTTGCGTCAGTAATTATGCTTTTCCTGCCCAACATTTCTCACCCCTTTTGTCGATCTGCTGGCTTCACTAGTTTCTTTTCGGCTGCTTTAGGTGCTGATGCATCTTGGATGGGTTCTACTTCGCCTCACCAAGGTGAGGCACAGTTCGAGCTGACCGGCAAAAAGTCCGCTACCACAACGCAACAAAGCCTCCGTGACGGCGGGAGTCGTGTCCTGCGTGATGTCATGAAACGACACCATAAGAAAACGAAAGCATCATCTTCCGACAATTCTGTGGGTGCGTGCCCCATATTTTCTATTGCTTATCTTTTTGGCATGTGATTCAGCTTCACGTTCCTATCACAAGAAGGTTCTTCTGTCACGCAACCGTTGAATTCCACCCATTAGACTCTATCAGTAGTGTGCTATCATCTCCCGCTTTTCATTCTTCCTGAGATTATTTAGATTGCTTACCAACTTACCTCTGCTGTCCTGTTCAGCCAATAACGTAAAAATCTGGTACTTTTGCATACCTGAAACACACTACCACAGTGACCGTTCAGTGTCTATACACCGTGTCATATGAACTTATAGGCGGCAATGCTTACAGCTTTGTTGTCACAGGGTTTATGTGTTCTACGCCGGAGAAGGTATGCAGAATAGTTGCATCCTAATGCGTATGTGCTTTCAAAATTCGACCCAGGTGACGAGATTTACACACCTCGCATCTTCGGTGATGAGCCAGTGACCCGCAGTATTTACTGTTTGAGTCGTTCTTAACTGGTGGGGGGTGGTGAAGGTACTGGTTAAACCCTTTAAATGCAATGAGATCCTTGGTCTGTTTCGGCTGCTAAAGTATGTCACGAGTGGTTACGTGTCGTCTACCCGTAGCAGCCGAATCGATCGACATTCGGCTTCACGACTTCTGTGCGCATAAGAAATTTGCCCAGGCACTCAGTCTACCCTGACCCTCTGTAACAGTGACACAGGGTATGGACAACACCCCAACACAACTTATCGTACCGAAGTTGAAGCGGGTCGCTCACCAACTCTGTTTTGAACACAGAGTGGTGAATGTCTGGAACGACCTACCGCAACAGGTAGTAGAGGCGAACTCAGTGCCCGAATTTAAGAAGCTCCTAGACAAACACTTTGCAGAGACAAAATATAGAGAGCGAAACGCTAAATAAGGCGTATATGTCCAACAGAGACGAATGATGCAGTTACACAGAGAAAGCTCTATTCGCTGCTTCGAACCAGTATTCAGCCCTGATATTTTTGGTACTAGTCACCTAGTTTGGTCAGTCAGATCATCTAAACATTTGAGCCTGTACCCTTATCTGATGTTTACGTCTATGTCATTCATTTGTGGTGTATTGGCATCATGATGAACCTTTGAAAGCGACTGTGAGAATTTGAAAATTCACATTTAGAATCAAAAGAACGCGAGACCACAGGTGAACAATTGTTTTCGATGATTCTCTTCAGACCATTACAATCATATTTAAGGGTAAAATAATGAACTGATATCGACTCATTGGCTCAAGTTACATTAATTAATTAACGGATCAGTGAGGGAGGCTAAAAGTTGACCATTGATCTGACAGGTCGATTGCATGTCATCGAGCTTGATCTGTGGCAATTGACCTCAGTATCGTTCGTTCTAGCTGGCCAGGGAAGCTGTAAGGCGTGGTGCACCTTCTTTTGCGAGCATAATGAAGGTTGAAACAACCGAATGCAAATCGATTCAGCTGTCGCGAGTGCACGGAGGCGCAAACCTCTTGTTTGATGCTGGGGGACCCTGTAAATTATCCTGAAAGCACGCTTTAGATCGACTTGGTGCCCCGTGTCTACAATATGGGCCAAAACGGTGCTGCTAATGGCCCCAGTTCCTCCCAGTGAGTCGATTTCAGTTCATTATTTTACTCTTAAATGTGATTGTAATGGTCTGAAGAGAATCATCGAAAATAATTGTTCGCCTATGGTCTCGTGTTCTTTTGTGCGAATTGTTCGTTGGGTCATCAACCTAACAGTTTCGCTGTCAGAAAGAGCCGTTACTACTGAACCGATGTTCCTCCATCTTTACTGAAGGGACAGTAGCGACTCATCTGACTGGTCCACTTGATCTGTCCCGTAACATTTTGCGATAGGGAGAGCTTTCTTCCGCTGTCTCTACAATCGAAGTTAATCAAGTGCACGAAATCTCAGCTACAATTGGCCTCCATGATAGTCATCTTACTGTATTGATCATACACACTTCGCCTGGTGCTTGGAAATCATCACAAGTACAAACCACTTATGGTTATGGACTTCCTCACTTTGGTGGCTATCTTTGATTGAGTTGAGAGCATGTTTTTGACGATACCTGCCATCAAAGTGAATCCCGTGAAATTCATTTTACTTGAACAACTCTCATCCGGCGCCGAATTGTGTAGAATCATCATCATCATTATACACGTTAGCTAGAGGTGGAAATCACCTCAGCTACTGTGCCGCAATAAGTAAAAAAATGAAGGGGAATAAAATGCAACAGGTGCAAGTCAGCTGAGCTACCGGTAACGGATGGGCATCGTTCCGGTAAGCTATCTGCCGGCTGCCATGCAGCAGAAAAAATAAGTTACTATGCAAAATTAGAAAAGGCTAAATATTGAGATCGTGGTTGGAGGCGGAGGCTAAGTGAGATGGGGTGTGACAAGCAAACTCACGGCACGAACTCCACTGAGGTCAGCTCCTAGCCATAGCAGCAAGTGTATCCAGCCAAATGTGTTCATCGTCTTTCGGACCCCAACCAGGAAGACGAGAAGGTCCAACTGAGGCCAGCTTCCGAGTGAGGGCCTTCATTCCTCTCGATCAAGTCATCGCTTGGTCACCCCTCCTCTTCTTCCATTCACACTCCGAGCGCGCAAACAACGCACGCCGCGGGAGCTGGTGGACTGGCATGCGTAGCATGTGGCCGACCCATCGGAACCTGATGTGTGTAATAACGGTGCTGAGTGGTTCATTACCTTTTCCTGTGCGGTAAACAAGGCATCGAACACGCTCGTTGCTCACCCGGTGTTCCCACAAGATGTGAGCTGAATTGTGAAGGCGCCAGTGGTCGAACGTAACTAGCCTCTTTATGTCCGTTGATCTAAGGGGCCGAGTTTTGCAGCCTTACAGTAGGGTAGAACCTACCACTCTACCATTCAAGGTGAGATTGATGTCGCGCCGGCGTCGTAAGTGGCATAAATTAGCAAAAGCGCCTTGAACTTGACTATACGGTTTGTGACCACGTCTTCAATACCAACGGCGCTGATACGACTACCTAGGTAGTTTAATTTTTATACGACTTCTAGCTGATCCCCACCAACGGTCAGCAAAGAAGGCGGTCCAGATCACTCTTAGAGGAACGCTTTGCACTTCGAAGGTGCGAAGCAAAGCCCGAAGTGACGGACAGCTAGTGCTAATCTGTCAAGTGCAGCTTGGCACGTTTGTGAGCTGTCACAGATAAGAGCAATATCGTCAGCGTACTCCAAGTCAAGAGGTCATACTCCTTGTAGCAGATCCACACCTTCTAAGTCGTGTCCTGTGAACACGATTTCCATCACTTCGTCAATAGCGGTGTTGAAGAGGAATGGTGAGAGCGAGCATCCTTGTCTCACACTGCTGGAGATATTAAAGGTCGACGACAGCTTTCCGTAAACCTCACTCTCCTCGTGGTACTCGCGTTAAATGCTCAGATAATGTTTACACATTTCTCAGATACACCTTTCCTGAGTAGACAGTCCCAATGTGCACTTCTATCCACCAAATCGAATGCACCTTTGATATCGAGGAACACTATAGTGGTGGGCTGCCAATCTATGTGATGGTGCTCCAGCAACTGACGCAAAGTATAGATGTGGTCAATGCAGTCACCACCTCGATATAACCCGGCTTGCTCTTCACGAATCTGGCTTTCACGAGTGCCAGTCAATCTGTGAAGGATGACAGAGCCAAGCAATTTGGAGACGATGGATATCAGACTGATTCTTCTGTAGTTACCGCATTCCGATCGTGAGCCTCCGTTGCAATTGGGTCTATGACGGAGCGGTTCCAGTCGGTTGGGACAGTTTCCTGCTCCCACAGTCCCACTAGTTATTCGTGTAAGTCATCCACATGAGTAGCGCTCCGACTTTGAAGAGGGATGGATGAAGATCATCTGGTCCCGCGGCTTTATTCAACTTCAACAGTCCGATCTCACCTTCGACATCCGAGCGAGATGGTGGATCGATAGGGTCATCCCAGGGAGCGGGACGATCAGTGTCCGGCAAGAAATCTAACAATGCTGATCGATTAAATTGCCTTTCAAAATGATCAACCTAACGCTCTAAGCGTTTTGACAAGTTGTGGATAGACTGTCCACTCTCGTCACGTATAGTTTCACTAACACCACGTCTCCTGCTGCCCGTTTCCCATATCAGCCGAAATAACTTACGATGGTTACCATGGACAGCGGCCGATTCAATCTCTGTTGCACGTTTAGACCACCAGGGTTCGCGGTCTCGCTTCAGGCTAGCACGGAGTTTTGCCCGGAGCACTTTGTGAGTTTCATTGTGTTCGCTTCCAGCCGGAATATGCCGGCGAGCATCGATAAGTTCCAGAGACTGTGAAGAGACCCACTGTCCATGTTATTGATTAGACATACCACATGAGGATTTTCCTGCTGCTAGTAACGTCTGGTGAATATGTGTGACCAGTGACCATCACTTGTCTCCAGTGAGTGCTTATTCATCTCGCATGACAGCGTAATTTGCTAACCATTCAGAACAGCTAGTTTCGCCAGTTAGATAGTGTCAATGCGCCCACAACATCGTCGCGGGCGTCCGCCAAAGCGCATCCGCAGGTCAGCATATACAAGTGCGTGGTCGGTGTCCACACCTGTGCTCCAAATCGAGCAGCAGTTCTGGACGCAGCCTCTCCATCGGTAACTTATCGCAATGCGATCGATTTGCGTCCATAGCTGGTTCGAGGCTGATAAGCGCCAAGTCACCCTCCGGCGGGTGCTGTGTCGAAAGTTAGTGCTCGTAAGAAATAAGCAGGTATCTTCACACAAATGTAGGAGCCGCTCATCATTATCATTACCAGAGCCTACATCGTGTTAGCCCCCAGATGCAATTCATCAGTGGCTACTTTTCCAACTTCCAGCACTACAGTGTCCGAGTTTCTTCTGTGGCGATGGAGCTGGTTCAGTTGGCATTGGAAGTCATCTTTTACCGAATCATTGCTCGAGTTTGTGGGTGCATAGGTAGCGATAACGAATAGACACCTGTTAGTCCC